TGCGTGGAGCAAATGCCCCTCTGGTCTGTGACTGAGGCGAAATATGAGCACTGACTCTAATATAAATGTACAAATGTTGCACCCTCCTGGGTTCTGGCACGGAAACTTCTTTAAATGATAAATTAAAGCTAAGTTTCTCTGGGGATCAGGGAGGAATGTTTAAAAGAGCAAAGCACACCAGCAGAATAACTCAGGCTTAGAAGAAGAGTTTTGCACAGTCTCAGCCGTTCATCATATCCACAGCGGGCAACTCACAAAGGAGGAAAAAGAAATATAGAACATCTGGAAACCTTGGAAATTAAAAGAAAGCTCAACTTTGTTTCTTCTTCCACCCCACAAAGAGTTATGGTGAGCACTGTAGGGATGTGACTGTGTTTTATGATAGGCTTTTGAAGCCCTGGAAATGTTCACTTAGGTTAGTAAATAATTCAAAAAATGATTTGTGCCAGCCCATCAGAGATCAGGTAATGCAGGAATAAAGCATACTTCTCCACAGCATGAGTGAGCATAATAATATGCTTTTATTGCCAGTCACGTAATAAGCAGCTTCCTCAGGTACCTTGTTAAAAACAATATTGTTTGTGCTATTGCTTCCAAATGTCAGCAGAGCAGAGGCTTCCTGCACCCAACGTTACCACAGCAAAACTCAACATTACAAGTGACATCAGGGTGTGGCAGCTGCCCACATCCCAGCATCTCAAAGAGACCTCTTACAGTCTCTTGGCCTGTCACTACTCATGGGTTTATGTGTTTGATTGAACAGCTGGGCAGGAAAACCTATGAAGAAAAGAACTTTCTACACAGTCATGAAATCTCAATTTTATGAATGTGGGATATTGTACCCATGATTCAAAATGCTAGGAAATGGCACGATATTGCTGCACAATATCATGTTTGTATTACCAGCAGTAGAAAGGATACGAAACTTTACATAGCAAAGGGTAGCCTGAATGTTGACAACACCAATGGCAGCAATCAAAATGGTCTACAGCAGCAGTTCCTAACTTTGGGTCCCACAAATGTTCTGGAACTAAAACTCCGAGAAACCTTCACCACTAGCTGTGCTGGCCAGGATTTTTGAGAGCTGTAGTCCAAGAATTGAATTGAATATTCTGGCTTTTTAAAATGGGAGTTTAAATATACATACACAATATACAAATTCAATCAGAAATGTCCCTCATATAAAATTGTCCAATGATAGAGGATTCCAGAAGATCAGCACATGATCTGTACTACAGTTACTCTGTGAAGGCAGAAGCGAGAACTGTTTGGATGGGGCCATGGGTCCTGCCGTGCCAAAATATTTTGAAAGGCTGTTTTGGACTTCATGAAATGATGAAACAAAGGTATGAGTATGTACAACATGTACAACAGAGAAGCACACACACTCTTTAACCTCTTGGGTAAACTAATGTTGTCCTGCCTGCTCCACAGAATGCAGAAGAGAAAGCTATGTTCCAATTTCCAAACACTTTTCTTAGGTTAGGCAATCTGAGCAAGAGAAGCTATAGCAAACCAAAAGTTCTATGAACAGCTTTGTTTTTATGTGCATGTTTCCCAAAATATGTCCCCTCACCTATTGAAATAGAGATAAAAAAAAGCAAAAGGCTGGAGTTAGCAAAGAATGTCACTGGAAACCAAGATCAAAATCATCCGTACTATATGAAAGAAAGACTCAAGAAAGAGAGGAACAAAAATCAACTCATTTGAAATGTGGCATTGGAGGAAAGCTGTGCAGATACCACAGACCACTAGAAAGGCATAAAAGTGGGTGCTCAGTCAAGCCAAGCCTGAACCTCTTGAGCAAAAATGAGTCAACTGAGGCTACCTTACCATGTACATATAATGAAAATACAGAACTGACCAGAAAAGACAATATTGCTGGGAAAAGTGGGCGCAAAGAGAAGACCTAACATGAGACAGATTGTCTCAATAAAGGAAGCCACAGTTGTTAGTTTACAAGACCTCAACAGATTTACTGGAAAAGACAATATTGGTAAGAAGGGGAGAGTAGTAGGATGAGAGAACAACCTAACATAACATGCTCTTGGTTTGAAGATCTGAGCAGAGCTGTTAATGACATTTTTGACTTAAGACCTTAATCCGTCCCAGAAGATGTTCGTAAATCAAAACATTTGTAAGTCAAAGCACCATTTCCCATTGAAATGCATGGGAATGGGATTAATCCGTTCCAGCATTTCAAAAAAATAAAATAAAAAATAAAAACAAACAGAGCAAGTCCCATGCTGGGACTGCAAAAAGAAAAAAAATCACCAAAAAACAAAATTGAAATTCAATCCCCCCCACCAACAAAAGAAAAGCCACCCACCCAAAACATTTTTTTAAAGCAGCACCTTACCGGTCTGAAGCCTCCGAAGCCTCCTGGGCTTCCACTGCTGCTGTGAGGGCCATGGCTAGGAGGCTTGAGCTTGGCTGGGGTGCTTTGGCTGCTCGCCTCCCGGCTTGCCTCCCACTCACTCCTCACTGCCCTCCATGGACCAATGTCGTTGCTGGTGCCCGATGCCGGCTCCAGCTCTGGAACCAGCACCAGCAGCTGCTCACTGAGGCAGCCACGTCGATCCTCAGCGCTCCTTGCCACCCTCCATGGGCCAATGGCAGGAAATCCAAATGGCCTCCCAGCCAGGCTCTAACTCCAGGTGCTGGGTCTGTCCCCGCTGCTCACTCCCACAGCCCAGGCTCAAGCCTCCCGACACTGGGCCACCCCCACCACCACATCCCTTTCCTGAACTGTTGGGGCGAAAGAACTACATAGAAGCAGCCTCTTCACCACCAACGGTTAGTACATTTAAATTTCCTGCCCTTTTCACCTGTCTTTTTTCGTTTGTAAGTGAAAGCTCCGTTTTTCAAGTCAAAGCAAAATTTTGCAAATGGAGCTGTTTTGTAAGTCAAAATGTTCGTAGGTCAAGGCATTTGTAAGTCAAGGCACCACTGTAGTCACCACACATCAGAAGTGACTTGATGGCACATAACATCTTTGAAGGTTTTTAAATTACCAGTCAATTGTACAGTGACAAGATGCGTGGAAAGGTTGAAACCATGACACCACATGGTTACCAAAGCTGTGCTAACATCAAGTAAGATGATTCCCTGCCACAAAACAAAACTCAGTACAGTGGTGTTTCAACTTACGACCATAATCCGTTCCAAAACATGGACGTAAGTCGAAGTGGTCATAAGTTGAAGCACCATTTCCCATAGGAATGCATTGAAATGCAATTAATCTGTTCCAGCCCAAAAAAAAAAATCACCCCCCCAAAATTACTGCAAAACTCATTAGAAACGTGATTAATCCCTTCCAGCTGAAGGGGGGGGGAGAGAAAAGCAATAAGGCGTGCAAAACCCATTGCAAATGCACAGAAAACAAATGGAGCAGATTTGAAATGCACAGCGAACAAAGGGACAAGGTCGGAAATGCAAAGAAAACAAAGGAAAAAGCAAGGGAGGCATGCAGGGCCCATTGCAAATGTCCAGAAAACAAATGGAGCAGATTTGAAATGCACAGCGAACAAAGGGACAAGGTCGGAAATGCAAAGAAAACAAAGGAAAAAGCAAGGAAGCATGCAGGACCTATCAGAAATGGGGAAAAAACCCAAAAAACAACCAAACCCCCCAAGATCCATCGGAAATGGGCAGACCCCAAAACAAACAACCCCCAAGACCCATCACAGCACAGAAACTTAACCCCCCAGCCTAAAACCATGCTGCAAAAACACCCAGAACAGTTTTTAAAAGCAGAAAACAGCACCTTACCTTACCTAACAGGCAGTCCCAAGCCTCCCTGCGAACACACACACGCTCACTGAGAAGCAGAAGCAGAAGCCAGGCAGTCTCTCCTCGATTGCACTCACATCAGGGCGAAAGAGCTACAAAGAAGCAGCCCCTTTCACCACCTACAGTTAGCAATTTGAATTTCCCACCTTTTCCCCCTGCCTTTTTCTGTTCGTAAGTGGAAGCTCCGGTTGTAAGTAGAAGCAACATTTTGTGGCCGGAGCTGGTCATAACTCGAAATGGTAGTAAGTAATTTCACAGCTTGAACAAGTGAGTTTTCTATTCTTTTTAAAATATGTTTTTGAAAAAAAAAAATTTTACAAGCAGACACAGAACCCTTTTGCTAGCCATAAATTCCTATTTGGCCAGGAAGGATTTAAAAGGTTCTCCTCCTGAGAATCAGCTAATTGTGTCCTGACTGACAGGCTCAAAATTTCAGATCTCCCTTCCTGACTCACAAGCTGCACCAGTGTTTCTAACTTCGGAACATTCATACTAGTAAGTTTCTTTCATGCAGTTTTTATGAAAGTCACTGTATTACCCTCTTGAAAGCCCTTCTTTGAGGATCACTATTTTACCCCCTGTTGCCTTTACTTCTTCCAAATAAAAAAAGTGGCCGGGATCAACTATTCTCTTTCAGTCTCAGTGAGATTGGTTTGTTCAATTGATTTGATATATTTTAAATCTGGTGGGGAAAAAAGGACACTGGTGTCTTGGGGGGGCACGTGTACACGTATATCATGTATATATACGTATAATCATAACATTAAAACTATTTAACAAAACACATTTGGCACAGAGCAACTTCATACCGTTTATTCCTACTGTGTCAAACGTGGTGCTGATCTGAAGTTTCAAAGTAATAATGTTTTGTTTGGGCTTCCCCCATTTTTAGATTTGCCTCGTAGAATGTTGATTTTCTCAGCCAGCACAATATCTTCACTGGACAATACTAATATTGTCATGCACTGGGTCACTAGCTGCACAGGTTTTGTCCATCTGGCTTCATGATACTCCAGCATACAAAAGCACTAAAAAGATAAGAAACTTGCTGTTTAAAATGGTGGTATCTTTTTCTAGGTTTGGTATTAAAAGGGCGGCATTATGGAGAAGCACATTCACTTCAGCTTGGACACAGCTTCCCACTGAACTAAAATGGCAAGTCACTACACACTGCCAGAATGAGAAACAAAATGAAGAAGGTCCGGTACCTGCTGAAGCAGATTGTTTGATGTTCACTTCTGTGGCACGCTTCTTGATTCAGTTCCACAAAGCAAACAGCCTCTTTATCTAGTCAACACTCCTGAGCCACCTAGAGAGAATAAAGAGTCAAGAACAGATTAAATCTTTGTATTATAAATGAACAAATTTTCTATATTACAAAAAGTTTTTTTCATCTTCACTGTAACAGCTGGAAGAACCTGACAAAGCTAATTTTTTCTCCACTCACACAACCTTCAGTGAAAGTATAAATGACAAATTTTAGTTTTTGAACTCACTTTTCATTTATTCACAGTGAGTGGCTTAACAGATTGATTTGGATGGTAAGAAATGAATTTGTGACATGTCACTGTCAAACTGGGTTATGTGTAATGTATTTGCGAAGGCTTTCACGGCCGGGATCTAATGGTTGTGGGTTTTTCAGGCTTCTTGGCCGTGTTCTGAAAGTGGTTTTTCCTAATGTTTCGCCAGTCTCTGTGGCCGGCATCTTCAGAGGACAACAAACTGTGCGCTGGTGTAGTTTGGCTAGGACGTGGAGTATTTATGGCTGTGAGATGGGATGATTAGTGTGTATTGTTGTGGGTGTATTGTTATCTGTGGATGGGTGATTAGTGTGTTTTGTTGTGGGTGTATTGTTGTGATAAGGAGATTATCTGTCACTGTGGTTGATGGTAGTGATCCCCTTGACCTTGTGGTTGGGTAGAGTTCGTGACCTTTTGCATGCTGTATTTTTGAGAGCTGGGAGCCAAGTTTTGTTGAGTTTCAAACTTTCCTCTTTTTTGTTGAAGTTTTTCTGGTGCTTGTACATTTGATGTACCTTCATACATTTTTGATAACTTATCTGGTGTCATGTACCATCTGTAGAACATTTTTTATATGTTTTCTTTAAAACTTACTGAATTTATAATTTTTTATTGATTCCATATATAATTTTAAAAATAATTTCCAAAACACTTCTAATAAAGCCTTCATTAAAATACATTTTTAGCCATTTCATCTTTAACTTTAACTATCATCTTTAACTACCCCAACTCTTAGCTTTTTTTGTTGCTATAGTCAGCATTCATGAATTCTTATTACTAAGAATAAAAAACTCTTTTCAAATAAATTAGATTCCACAGAATTTTTCCATTTTAATATTTTGCAATTATTTCCTTTTTGCTTGTATTTCTGATATTTTTTTTATACATCTCTATCTTTTATATAAATCCCTTCCAACCTCATTATTTCTTCTTCCAGCTTTTAAATACACTTATCCTTTTCTCCTCTTAAACTTAGCAACACTTGATGGGGAACATTGAAGTTGGGCAATGAAAGAATTGGTTTCAAATTTAATTTAATAACAGTCTCTTGCTGTCTTTAATGGATTCGCTACTATTTGCAGTTTAAGGCAACTGCCGGGGGGCTTGGAACCTATCCCCCATGGACATGGGGTCCTACTGTATATCTAACAGACTTGGACCCGTGTTTGCTGACAGACATGGGGTCCTACTGTATATCTAACAGATGGTTGTAATCACCACCTCCCAAGGTAATTGGTTCAATTGTAGCGCTGCTCTAAGAGTTGAGATGTTTTTCCTGGTATTCAACTGAAATCTGGCTTCTTGTAGCTTGAGCCACTTATTAAATGTACTGCACTCTCTGATGATTGAGCAGATCCTGCCTTTCCTCTGCATAACAGTCTTTCAATATTTGAAGAGTACTATCCTATCTCTCCTTAAACTTATTTTCTCAAGTCTAAACATGGCCAGATCTTTCAGTCTTTCTTCATAGGGCTTGGCTTCCATCAAAGCACTGCAGTTATGACTTACTGGGCTGAGTTTCCAGGCTTCTGATGGTTAGGAGTGTGAGATGAGATAGAGGCTGAGAGGTCAAACATGCCACCTGGTGAGGCATGTGTGGCTCTGTATGGCAGGCCAAGGTCTCCTAATGCCCGAGTGGGACAAATGATACAGTTCTTGTCAATAAGTACAGCCAGTGATGAGAAGTGCAGACAGTAACATTCAGCAACACCCGAAAGGCCACATTCTCTGGTGAAATACACCAAACAATGTGATAGGAAAGCTGCAAACTCTGATGGGCAACAAGAACCAGGAGTAAACATTCAATCCAAGAAATAAATGTTCACACCTAACTTCATGACACTTTCTTGGCACTGTGTACCATATGCTGTATCTTATTTTTCAGAACAGACAAGAAGTATTTGCAACTAATGAGTTTAAAATTGCAACAGTTAAAAATTACTTTTTAAATAATACCTTAGGAGCTCTAGCTGCTCTCAGTCTGAGGGACTTGAGCGGGGAGCTAAATGTTCTGAAACTGAGCAGAAAGTAGCCTGTGCCCTACCCTGATCCAGATAAAATGCTGTTTTCCCTGCAAACTCTGAGAAGGAACAGACGATACTCCTGAAGCTTCAGATCAGACCCTGAGGACTGCTAATGCTTAACATCAATTCATCACATTTTCAAATAGCCTCAGACCTTCAGTAGACTTCTGCCTTATATTTCATTTTTTTAAAAAAGAGGAGTTGGTATGAAAATAACCCACCATCCCCCACTATTGCTACTTAGCACCTGGATCCCACAAGCACATACATGAACCATCTTCTGTTGCACCCTGAACATAGGCACCCATTAATTACCAAACCCTACAGCACACTGGATCTTGTCGAAGTGAATTGTGTTTGATATTACATTCCTACACAAGCCCAGAGATAGAACAGATCCTATTACACCACTAAGAAGCTAATTGCTTCCCACTTGGGTCCCAGAGGCATTGCCAAACACGAAAGGATGAAACTGTAAAATGCCCTTACAAGGGAGGCAAATGGTCTTTGCTTTCTTTTACTTGTGGGATTTTGACAGCACTGAGAAAAATTAAAAGATAGCCGGATTCAAAAGAGGAAAATAGTCCAACCCACCATGGTAAGGCTATTTTTGGGAACATTTCTACCTGGGAAGCAGCAACATATAAATCCCTTTTTAACAGTGGTAGTCTCTGTTTTCTGGTATTCTGATTGAATTTGCCAGATGGGAACACTTTACATTGCAAGCTTAGTCCTTGAATTAATGTGGGATTTTTTTCAAGGCTACTGCAGGTCTTAATCACAGCTCAGAATTTGCTTGGGGATAGGGTAACTGGAAGAGGGGAAAGGAGGCTTTAACTCTAAAACAGCAGCTGTTCTGATGGTTATGGCTTTTAATCACACCAGATGTGAGAGGCCATCAGTTGCTGCTGCTGAACTGTGAGAGATAGGAAAGCGTGAAATTACAAGTAGAATATTTTGTCATTCTCCAGAAAGGTGTTGGCCAGAGGCACCAGGAAACAGCAGCAGCAGCAGCAGCAAGAAGACACTGCAACAGCCATCTCTCCCTCAACAAACAGACAGTAAACACATGCAAATTTGATGCAGGGACATAACTGTCAGGTATACAGTGGCCTACATTGGCGACATGGAGCAATCTAGCCAGGTTGCTTTGGAACAGTATGGAATTGTAGGGCTTGATTAGATTGCTCCTTCTGTTCGCAGGAACATCGTTCCAGCAACCCCTGTAGTTGTCATCCAGTCAATGAGATGTTGGCATTAGATTGCTCCATTTTGATCTGTGTGGTCACAATGTGCCCCTCTCCTTCTACCTCCCCACTTCTTGCCTTCCCTTCTGTAATGTCAGCTGGTTGGGAAACAGCATGCTTCCATGTGCTTGCAGATGGGCATTAATGCTGGGTTTTTATGCACAAAAATGGAAGGGATACAGAGTCTCATATTTTAGCCCTACATTTCTCCTTTTTAAAGGGTTGTTTTTTTGGTAAGTAGCATGGTGCTTATGTGATACAGCACTATAATAGAAATGTTTTTTTAAATAAAATAAAAACAAAAACAAAGTGCTTTTTTCACTCAAAATAGGATGGATGGTCACTTACAGATCACACTCACTTTTACACCTCACCAATGAAATGTAAGAAGAACCACCCCACACTGGAGCAATTTATGCAATCACACAGCAAGAAAACCGTGTTTATTTCAACAAATCCTAATTATTCCAGATAAACCGTAGGCTCCAACCCTAGCCAATCTGGGATGGGTTGGTTCCCTTTAAGAGTTGGTTGAAATGTTCTAATAAGAATATTGTGTAGCCAACATTTTTAAGAGTGATCCCATCTATTGCAGCAGGGGGCTACAGGAGGAGAAAAACTCCTCATAATCTGATACTCTAAATAGCAGAGGATCTAAGATCTTGCCACATTCTTGTGGACTGATGGGTTCAGCAAATGGGGAAATTGTTTGGCCGTGATTGCAAAGTGTCAGTTGAAAAAGAGAAAGATCTGGAATAGAGATGAAATTCTGTTCTCTTTGGAGGAGAGATTTACTGTGTGATACTTTTGTCTAAAATCTTTAGACTAAAAATTGAGTGTTGTCTTATACACAGAAGTAAGCTGAGAAGAGAACCGCAAGATTGCAAAACTGCCCAAACTTGCCTCCGAAAACAGGCTTCCTTTAATCACGAGGCTTAGCTTCCTACAGTCACGAAGCTTAGCTGGCTCCAATCATGAGCCTTATGGAACTGACATCAGCTGATTCTGAACAAACCAATTGGAACACACCTCATTAGAGGTTGGTCATTGGCAGTGGTCAGATGCAACAGGGAGTGGTAATGTCAGAGCGTTCTGAGCCCAGAGGATGAATAAAGTGATGTGCCCAGAGGATGAATAAAGTGGGTTGGAAAAGTGAGGGGAGTCTTATACATGGGAGTTTCTTAAACATGAAAAAATACAAGGTGCTTATCACCTTGATGTAGGTAATAGAATTTCAATATATGTGTGCAGGACAGCAATGGAAGAGCAAATCTTCATAGTGGTATCATGTATTGGTACCTATCTTCCTACAGAGTTTTTGAGCCCTGTGTTTTTACCTATGGAACTACCTTTTCATGCTTTAGCTTATTATACCAAAAATGACTTCAGGAGAAGAGTCAAGAGTCAAAAAAAGCCTTGCCTCGCTTGCTGGCTGTCTCCCAAGACAGCGCCTCTTGCACCCTCCAACCAGAACTGCAGCCTGCCAGCCAGCCCACCTGTCTGCCAGCTGGCAGGCTG